ACCCCAGCAAACAAAAATATTTCGTAATCAGTGATAACTGTTACAGTGTTTTCTATCACAATAAGTGCCTATGGTCAGTGTTACGACCGTTTCTTTTGGTAAATATTATCAGTCAATAAATATCAAATGTAGTTCTTTCTTTGAGAACGGAGAACCGTTCCATTAATAGGCTCCGGCGTCGTGGCCATACCACTTTCGGGAGTGCATTATTTCTCTAATAATTTTAATGGCCTGGAGTCACAACCACCTCATTTGTTCATTGTTCAGATGATTTATTTCAAGACATCTGTCATGAATGTGTTGAAGTAATTTCTTACGCACCTCATCCCAAACCTTCCGTTGTAAATTCCAAAATGTCATTTTTAGAGCTAATAACAGACTTGCGCTATTGATATGCAGGCTAATGCAGTTATTAGAGAGAGAGAGAGAGAGAGAGAGAGATTAAGTGTGAATACCTGCGTCATGTGCATCTCTCAGCAGCAGCGTCTACTAATAGCGAATCTTTTAGTTGAACTGCTTCAAGAACCTCGCTACTAAGAGATGACATCTTAGTGCGTCTGTGTGTGTGCGTCTGAGAATGACAACGGGAGAAAGAAAGCGCAATTTCTGTAGCTACATAAAAAGGTGGAAAACATGGAAATAGTTTGTCATTTTTACCCTAAGGGTTATATTTGTCTTCTGGGGTTTTGGTTTTTTACTGTTGTAGATTGGCCATAGTTTTAAAAAAAATTATATATCTCTCTTCATTGTGTTTGGGCCCCCCCTGGATGAGTGAGCATAGGCATGTGCCTAGAATGCCTATGCATAAATCCGGCCCTGCCCAAATACAGCTACTACACAGCACTGCCCAGCAGCAGCAGCAGATATTATTAGACAAGTTATTGTGTGCATGTTTCATTGGCAGAGAGCAGATGTTCAAGTGGTCATATATTGTATAAAAATCTTAACTGTCTGAAACTTCGTCACCACCAGTAAATGTTTATTTATTTATTTTATTTTATTTTTTTGCAGGGGTATGACTTATTATCTCTTTATGCTGTACCAACAAAATATATTTTAACAAGCATATTTTTGTTGGTGTCACCGGTTTTTGGCAGTCAAATACAAATGCTTGTGTTGTGTATATCTATCTATCTATCTATCTATCTATCTATACACACATCTACCTATACACACACACTCAGGTTTGTTTTTGTGAAAAGTGGGGACATCCCATAGGCGTAATGGTTTTTCTACTGTACAGACCGTATATTCTATTGCCCTACACCAACCCTACCCCTAAACCTACCCCTCACAGGAAACTCTGTGCTATTTCAGATTTTCAATACACTCCATTCTGTGTGATTTATATGCGTTTTGAAAAGTCGGGACATGGGGTAATGTCCTGAAAAGTCACCTTCTCCTTGTAATACCTATGTCATACCCTTGTCATTATACAAATTTATGTCCTCATTTGTCACAAAAACGCGCACGCACACACACACACACACACACCTTACCTACCTGCCAGTGACAAATAACACAAGCAGACATGACTCTTGCTGCAACACAGCCTTTGTGTAATTCAGCCAAAATGCCCTCTGCTTCAATGCCCAACAACATGACCCAGATTTCTGAGAGGGGAGTTGAGTAAACCACAAAGCAAGCAACCAGTCTGGAGTAAACCTAAGGCTAAATACTATGTGCAGCCATAAAGTTTGAATCTTAGAAGTTATTATTATCATTATTACTTAATTTAGGTCATACCCTGTGCCGCAGGCTACATCCAGCACCTTCTGAACCCCATGTTTTCTGAGCAGGGACAGCACCCAGCTCTTGTACTCCTCTGTCCTGCTCCTAGTGTCTCCGATGTACAGCTGCCACACTTTCGCTGCTTTACCGTCGGCATACTGATCAGGAAGACCAACTACACCTACACCGAGAGAGCGTGTACGGTAAACACTGTCCACCATACTCAATTATCACACTACGTGAACGGTTCGTCTCCCGGATCTGAATTAATCTCCTGTCTTCTCTTGTTTGAGTTTCTTTTTCAGGCTTACAACGTCGATGTTGACATTTATATCGCGTCTCTGTTGAAACAGAAACTTTTGACCAATCTGAGGCGCGAATACACTCACGCCTACATTTCCATTGGCCGAGACATGCGATGACGTGTTCAGACTGGAAGGTACACATCCGACCTGTGTTTCGTCAGATTTTTAAAAAGGTTAAAGAGTAAATGTTAGGAAAAGTGTGACTGATATGATAATGGTGGACATATGTCGAAACTTGGGCATTAGGACCTAAAAGATTTTATACTTTGCTTTTGAAGTTCAAAGTAAAGTAAAAACCTGTCGCTGAGTTTTTTGTTTGTTTGTTTTTCCTCTTGTTTTTCTATTTATGGAAAGAAAAAAGTCTAATTAGCTGCCCCCGGGCATTATTGGGTTTTAAAGACTGATTAGAAAATAAAAACATGACAAATGTAAATTTTTAACGATATAGCCTACTAAATGAACATAATGAAATGATTTTTGTCAGTGAGATTTAAAAAAAAATAAATATCCACATTTCTCGAACACTATAAAGCACTTAAAACATAATATAGATCCTGTTTGTAATATGTGTACTCACTGAGGCTAAGTCACAACACATTATTAAATGGCTTATTACATTCATTTCGCTGTTGTTTTTTTGTTCATATCCATTTTTTTAAATAATTATTATTATCTATGAGTTTGTCTCATTTAATACACTGGAAATTATCTATTTATGTAACATTTGATATTTTTATGTAATTGTCAAATTTTAGTCATGAAAATGTATTTATTTTTCTAATGCCACATGCCTCAAATGCAGCATAGACAAAGTCAGCCCTCAGCACAAGTTTTGCCATTGACTTGCATTCTTGAACAGATAATCTGTTTCCACCCCCTCACCTCTCTTGTACTCAGTGACCAGTGTGAACACTGATTCAATAGAAAATAGTTGTCAAGTCAAGTCACCTTTATTTAAATAGCACTTTATACAATAAAGATAACTTAAAAGAATCTTTACAGTTATAGACAAGAAAATAGTGATTCAGTGATGCAAACTAATTAAATTCTGCTGTAAAGCAGCTCTAAAAAGATCATAGTAAACAGTCATTATTCAGTTGAAATCAGTTCATTTGTTGAGTCAGTTCCGTCCGACAACTGTATAAAGTCTATCAATTATGGAATGAGTTAGGTTCGTCTATAAAGCAGCTCTGGAGAAAACAGTGATTTCATCTTCCAGTTTTTGCTGGATGTAAATTAACTGGCCAGTGGCCACACTATCTAATGTAATACCCCATCAAGCACAGCATCACTGGATGAAAGAAAACGGCTATGAAAACAGAATAAAAAGTTAAACTTTCTCAACAGTGGTTTTGTACTGTCTGGTTTATGTCAACTTTTCATTGAATCAGCCAATCTAGATTAAGTGAATGTAGGTAAGCAGAAAAGTGTCATATCTTTTGACATTAAATCTACAGAATTTAAGTCACTTAGACAAACCAAGTAATCTATATAACAAATGACCAAATGCTATGCTTTGCAAACTCCTCTTACATTCTAATACATATATTTAACAGTTATGGGCCTTTGTTAAGTACACAATACACAGTATTAATTTACAATGTCAAACATGTTTTTTTTTTCTAAATAGATAAACATTAAAAATGTTGTATCATACATGACATGATTTGACATGAAAAATTTAGAAGACATTGGACAATACAATTCAGTTTACATTTTCTTTGTCCTCGACTGTGAACCACTACTATAATAATGGACAAGACAATGTCAGTTTGGTGTAAATAAATGATTACCTTAGGCATGGAGAAACAGTATAAACATTAGTTCAAACTTTGACCTTTTGCACTAAGACAATGAGGTTAAAGAGCAGCTTAAGTAAAATATTTGTGTTGATCTAGAAAGTGAGGACTGATTAATGTTATCTGTACAACTGCACTACATATATATATATATATATATA